TCCATTTGCTATCTCTGTAAGGAAGTGGAGTGTACTTTTCCTTTCGCACTTTTGTTCGCTGCTTGACAGCTTCTTTTGGAAACAAATGTATCAATCCAAGAGTCAAATTTCCAGGGTGTTTAAATGTATCTTAATGTCCTGGTTCAGCCAGAAAACTTTCTCTTTCTACCTCTTTCTCCTGCACAAATCTTGTCCGGTGGAAGATCTCTTTGTGGCTGCCATTACTGACAGCCGCTCCACCGCCTCAGGAAAAAGCAGTCTAGCCAGCTGGGGAAAAGGGTTGCAATGTCCCCAGTCCCCTGCCTGGATCTTCTCTATCTTCCGCTACCCCTTTGGGGTAGCGACAACCCCAAATCCAATTGGATTGGGGGTACCTCAGCAGCGAGCGCAGCAGGGACCCGCAGGATCACAGATTCATGCCACCACCAAAGCCTTGCAACCGGAAGTCCCTAAATTTGGGATCTTTTCTAAAAATGGTTAGATAATAAAATACAGTAATGAAATATGTAGACTTTTAGAAAATAATAAATATATAAAGATGTATTCTTTTCTTATTATATCTACAAAATGATTTTAGGATAGATTTGGGGTGATAATATTAACTGTTATAAAATAAACTAAGTAAATTATTATTATCTTGTAAAACATGAATGAATTAAAGTATAGTCAAATGATTGATTAATAATGATACCAAGGTATTTAATTTTTGATTGAAAATATGAGATTATATGCAATGCAATTATAATTGAAGACTACAAAATGGAAGCACAAAACAATTTATAAACCAACCGGCACACTGTATTACACATACGGAAGATAGCTTGATGTTTTCATGTTTTGTTTGTTTATGTTTGTTTTTAAAAACCAATAAAAATTAAAAAAGAAAAAAGAAAAGAAAGTTTCTCCTTATTTCCAGGTTAAATCTTTCCTTGTTCAGTTTCCATCCATTATTCCTTGTCTAGCCTACAGGAGCTTTAGAAAATAGCTTGACCCCTTCCTCTCTGTGGCAGTCCCTCAAATATTGGAAGACCGCTATCATGTCTCTCCTGGTCCTTCTCTTTACTAGACTAGCCAAGCCCAGTTCCTGCAACCGTTCATTGTATGTTTTAGCCTCCAGTCCCCTAATCATCCTGGTTGCTCTTCTCTGTACTTTTTCTAGAGTCTCAACATTTTTTTTATAATGTGGTGACCAAAACTGGATGCAGTACTCTAGGTGTGGTCTTACTAAGGCTTTATAGAGTGGTATTAGTACTTCCCTTGATCTTGATTGTATCCCTCTGTTAATACAATTTAGGATTGCATTAGCTTTTTTGGCGGTGGCTGCACACTGCTGGCTCATATTTAGCTGGTTGTCTACTAAGACTCCAAGATCCCTCTCACAGTTACTGCTATTGAGCTTGGTTTCACCCAGTCTATATGTGTACTTTTGATTTTTCTTGCCTAAGGGTAGGACTTTACTTTTCTCTACATTGAATTTCGTTTTGTTAGATATGGTCCAGTGTTCTAGTCTGTCAAGATCCATATGGATCTTGAGCCTATCTTCTTGGGTGTTAGCTATTCCTGCCAGCTTAGTATCATCTTGCAAATTTGGTAAGTTCCCCTTCTATTCCCTCATCTAAGTCATTAATGAAGATATTGAAGAGCACTGGGCCTAAGACGGAACCTTGTGGCACCCCACTGCTTACTTCCCTCCATGTAGACTTAGATCCATTAAGGACTACTCGTTGAGTACGGTTTGTCAGCCAGTTGCAAGTCCATCTAGTGGTGGTGCTATCTATCCCACTTTTTTCTAGCTTACTAAGAAGTAGGTTGTGGTCTACTTTGTCAAATGCCTTGCTGAAATCTAAATATATTATGTCCACAGTATTTTGCTGGTCTAATAATTTAGTCACTGTGTTGAAGAATGAAATAAGATTGGTTTGACATGATCTGTTTTTAACAAACCCGTGCTGACTGCTAGTTATTACTTTACTTGTTTCTAGATGTTGGAAGATCTGTTTTTTTATTATTCTTTTCCAGTATCTTCCCAGGTATTGATGTTAGGCTGATTGGTCTATAGTTTCCTGGGTCTGTTTTTTTTTTTTTTCCTTTTTTGAAGATGGGAACCACATCAGCTCTTTTCCAGTCCTCTGGTAGTTCCCCGGTGCTCCAGGATTTTTGAAAGAGATGGTGCAGTGGTTCTGAGATGACCTCTGCCAGCTCCTTTAAAACTCTGGGATGTAATCCATCAGGCCCCGGTGATTTGTTTTCATCAAGATCAGACAGGTGTTCTCATTATTTTTCTAGCTAATCTTTAAATCTGCTTAAAAGCAAAGCCGAACCTTGCTTAGGATTGAAGGTTCTATTATTCAGTGCAGATTCAGATGGCCGATGGCAGAAACACAGATCTCTAAGTGAATTCTGTGAGCAATTCAATCTGCCTGCCTGCTTTACCTGATTTTGGGTAAAAGTTGACTTTTTTAACATAAAAAATTCAATATTTACATACATGGTGTGTTGTGAGTTAATTTTGTGAGTTTGCTTGCTAGCAAATTTTATGTGACAGACTCAGGTAGCCGATGGCAGAAACACAGATGTCTAAGTGAATCTGTGATTCTCTGAGCAACTCAATCTGCCTGCCTGCTTTGCATGATTTTGGGTAAAAGTTGCTCTTTTTATATTAAAAAAATCAATATTTACTTAAATATTTATAATATTTACATACAAGTCATGCCCAGCCAGTCACATGACCAAGCCACACCCACAAATTAAGCCACGCCCAAGAACCAGTTGTTAAAAAATTTGAATCCCATCCCTGCGTCTGTTTGTGTGTATGAGAGAGAGGGAGAGAGAGGTTAGATCAGATCTCTCTCTCTCACCAGTCAGCAAGCCACCGTCCGTCAAAATTCGTATTAGTGGTCCCCGGGATTAAAAATTATGAGTTTGGTGGTCCCTGAAATCCAAAAGGTTGGTGATCCCTGTTCTAAAGTGTTTGCCAAATGTTTAAAAAGTTATATTACCATGAGTAATAATAAATTTACTGTTGCAGAGATATCTAAATAACCTTACTCAACAAGGAAGTTATCTCGTAAGTTTTTTTTTTATTTATATGACTTTGAAATGCAATTAAGAATGCAGGTGTTCATACAATTGCTAAAATAAACTCTGTGAAATCTCCAGCTGTGCTTCCAAGAAGTCAGGAGGGTTTAAGAGTTGACATAAGGTGATAAACAAGTTAGAACCAAGCCTTGGTACTGGCACATAACCAGAATTTTCACTTTGTTTTATGCATATAATCGAGATCCAAGATAAATACTAACATTAATTTACACATATGTGAGTATAGATACGGCTAACTCTGTTTTATAATAGCCTGCTAAATCATTTTCAGGACACATTGATGTATTCTTGAGTCACTTATACACATTCCAAGGAACGTTCAAGAATGTGCCCTTGGCATACAATACAATTTGAGAAATCTTCATTAGGTATTACACTACCATTTATGAACACTGGAACCCATGAAACTTCTTTATCACTATCAATATGAAAGTTCAGTGAGGCAGGCAAGATGCCTTTTAGGCAAATCTGTAGACCATTTATGTTTTTGTACTCAAAAAAATCATTAATAAGCTACTGCGGAAACCTAAGAACAGAGTACTGGAAGTCTGCTCCACAGGCAAGTGTGTAAAAATTCCTATAAATTATCTAGACTGTATAAGGGAATATATTTATTTGAACAGTTTTTCTAAAGAGTCACATTTATTGTATGAACTCATCACAATATTCCATTAAAGAAACAAAACTAAAACTGTCCAAGTTGCCTTGAATACCATGAGAAAAACTTTAATGAGTGTTTTGGTTTTTCCCCACATCAGCACCAAATACAATTCTTAGGCACAATAGATGTTCAAAGTACAAAGAGAATCCAAGGGTGTGAAGCTTTTTCTTGTTTCTTTTTCTTTCTTTTTCAGTTTGTACAAGTATAGTATGTTTACAAACAGAAGTAATTTGCTGAGACCTGTAGGTTATATCCAAGAAACAGCAATGCTAAATTCCAGAGAATAGGGAGATATATGCAGGCTAAAACTATAACCAAGTCCTGAATTCTTTCACCACAAACAGCTGACTCTTGATGAATGTATCTTTTCTTTTATGTACACTGAAAGCATTTGCACCAAGACAAATTCCTTGTGTGTCCAATCACACTTGGCCAATAAAGAATTCAATTCAGTTCTATAAGGGATAGCTATTTGCCTCTTTTTATAACTTGTATTTAGCCAATGAAAGGGAATTAATTACCCCAGCTCTACATTGATCTGCCATTGGATTTGGATGAAAGCACTTATGTACAATGTTACACAAACGTGCAATGGAAGCTACTTATGTTTTCCCCAAATAATACTGAACTATAGAAACAAATAGTGCCAATTTCGGGGGTTCAGGTTAAAAAATTCCTGATTCATTAGTTTAAGCTCCCATATGTAGTCCTACTGCAGTTTTTCAGTAAATTATATAGAAACCCAAGAAGAAAGCCATAAATTCTCCTCTTTTCTTCTGATTCATATACCTGACTGAGGTTTGGCATGCATAGCTATTGTTCCTGATAAGTTTTGGAGTGGACCGGAACCACCAGCTAGATTTATATATCATCCATGTTTTGCAAACTTGGCAACTTTAAGAATGTATGGACTTCCAAGTCCCAGAATTTGCCAGTCAGCAAGTTGCCAAGTAGGAAAAACATTGATGTATTATTGTATGTATGTATTTGATTCAGGCTAAGTGTTTCCTATGAAGTGTATTGATTATGGTTTGAAAACCCTGATTAAATGTCAGCAAATCTATCATGGACTAAATCACTTTGTGTAAAAGATAATTATTATACAAAGCAATCCCAACAAAGATGATAATTATGAGTCTATATAACTATATGATCGTTTATTAATTCAACTTATGTACAAAATCTAAATATGAAGATCAACCAACCAGAGTATTTACAATTTATTTTACAAAATGTTTTACAAGAAACATTGGCCAAAATAACATGACACAGAATTAATTATTTTGTATTACATAAATAAATACTGACTTTTAAATGACTGTTATAAAAATGTAATTTTTCAGTCAGCTGAGTTAGCAAACATGTGGCTGTGTTTTCTTTATGCTACAATATAATTACATAAAAGGGAGGAGTATTTTTACATATAATCTATTAATTATTTTTTAAATAGTACCTTACCACTATATAGAGGTAAACAGTCATACAATTCATGTCTCTAACTGAATTATGATTTTTGGCATGCAAAACCTATAGATCCAACAATACCTGGAAGCATTAATTTCCTTTAAAAACAAAAAACAAAAAAATTGAAGTCTTAAAAAATAATGCAACCATTAAAAGTGTGTATCTGGAGTACAATGTACAACTTATATGACATTTATATGTCCCACAGGTATTAATCAGAGATTTAAGAATACTTAACAAATTCAAGACAAATAACATAAAAGTAATGCGATCTAAAATAAATAAGTTATCACAACTTTTATATGCCCTTTTTAAAAATAAGAGGAAATAAAATAGAAGTTACTAACTTCCATTCTTACATTTTTTGAAGATTTATTTGTAATTAAATCCTGTTCTTGCATAAAAGAGAACTAATATAGTTTGATAAATCTTAGTGTTTTCAATACAATTGTTCTTGAAATCTGATTAACAGAAACAGATTAACAGCTTTTTTCAATATATTTCCCACACACATATATAACAATTGTTTTCAACTGAATGAAGAAACAGATTGCACCGAACACTATCGTGTTGGCAGCATTTGGCAATTTCTGCTTTTTAAGCAATCAAGTCATTGAAAACACTGAACTAATTTATAAAGCATACCGTGAACACCTAAAGTCAAACTGGCTTTATTTGGATCAAATTTTTGTTTGAATAAAATTGTTGTGGGGGGTTGTTTTTTTGAAATTAGACAAATAAAAACATTGAAAGTGAATACACAGACTACCTCTTGATAACTTGAACTTTTTTAAAAATGTCTTTTCATTGTTGGTTTCCATTATCTGAATGAAAACCAGTCCATACTGTATACCCTTAAGCATATTTTATGCATGCAAGTCTTTACAGATGTAGCAAGTAAAGAATATGTGCAAATCTTCTCTTAATTGTATCTGCATATACAAGCTTGTTGAACATACAGTATGCTCACAAGAACCATAAATTTTCTGAAATAATTCAAAGACATTGTTGTCTGATTTTTCTATATGCTCTTCAAAAACATTTGGCCTTTTTCTTTTCCTTTAAAAAGAGGGATATTCTTAATCTTATTTATGACAATTATGTATTGTTATAGATTAAACATGTATGCAAAAAAGTATCTCTACCCTTTAATTTTCTACTGCAGTGGTTATGGACAGCATTGTTTTTCCTTTCACTTGATATAAATCAAAGCATGTAATGGAGAGATATGTCCCTCTAAGAATAGAGGATGCTAATTTTTTTCTAATGAACAAGACAAAAGAAAATTAAATCTGAAGTGTGATCTAAAACTGTATTGTTTAAAACATGTGGTTACAGTTTAGTTAAATTAAGTGTGTCCATGAAGTTTCCTATACTTCATTATGTCATTCAATAAAGTTTTGTTTAAAGTAAAGATACAGGAAATTTTCAGATTTAGCTTAATTCAATTGATGCTGTCAATATTTTATTATTTAATAAAATAACTCTGATATCATGAACTTGGTCAACACGTGCCCTGCAATCTTCTCCCTGTATGAGGATTCAGTTTACCTGAATAATCAGATAAAGATCCTTCTATTTGCACAAAGATATTCCTGTAGTGAAATGAAAAACAAGCTCCTTCTGGGAGGGATATACAGTGTATATATTGTTGGATGGACAAACGTATCTTTATTGGTGGCCAAGTACTGAAAGGGTAACTATAAAATGTCTAGTTTATCTTCCTTTCTGACATAACTTTGTAGTATCAATTGCTTTTTCTATAGAACTTACATTTTGCCAGTTGGAGTTTTTTTGTGGGAATGTACAAAAATCTCATCTGCTATTCTTCCATCATTCTGCCCTTACCAGCATTCATTTCCACTACCACCCCAGCCTTATAATAGGCCATTATTTGCATAAACCAAGAAAGCTACTTGTTAATGTTACTATGATATACCAAGATGGTGGCAACAGATGAGAAGGGAGACTCCCAAGAACTAGCATGAGGCAATTCCTGGTAATGAGAGTGGAAAGTGATAATGGAAAAGAGTAGTCCAGAAGAAATGCTGGAAAACTGTGTTAGCTTCCTATATTTCAAAATGTCATGGAACATCTTGCAGCTCCTAGGTGTAAAAAGGCCCTACATCTCACATGACAAACTTCTTCTAAAGTAAAAGTCTAGTTCAAAGAACTTAACCTCAACCCTCACTTAAATTCATTAATTTTGTGAAGTATTTAATGATACTAGTAGCTATAAGACAGACTTATTTACATTTCAATTAGTGTTGTAGTGTTGCTTTAAGTACTCCATTTGGTTTCAGTTCCCAGTATGAAAAACCTCTGGAAAAAACAACAACAGTTTGATCATTTTTCTTCATAACTTAGGAAAAATAATCCCCCCTTAATGAAACCCTCAAAAGTTAATGTGTCTACTTCATGGAAACAAGATAATGTTTCTTCATCAAATGGACATGAATCTTTGTCCATTTAATGGGATTTCTGAAAGCAAATTAGGTAAAATATTGAAATTCTACTCAGTTACTAAATAGATATTATTAGGCCACGTATATCATATATCATGAAATGGACAGGGATTGTTATGTTTTTCCTGTATCAGCCACAGATAACTTAGGTTTAAATGGATGGTTTAAATCTATTTAAAAAGCTATGTAAAGATATTAATGGGAAGTGATAAAGCAGGATGTCATGTAGCATATGCTACAGTAACAGGTAATTGCTATAATGATATATATGAAAATATTTACATTTTCATAGATGATGAATGCTCTGATAATATGAATACAGCTGATCTTTGCATTATAATCTGTACTATATCCCAAAATTAGTTCAAACATGCTTTTTTCAATCCATTTCATACAGATTTATACACAATTCATATTCGATAAACATTTATTAAAACAATAGCTCATTCCATAACCCAATAAAGATGCATTTTTCGGGTCGTCTTTCAAGAACTTCTTTGCATCGTTTTCCATCTGGTTAATAATTTATGGCAATTTAGTATTTTTCAGGGGGTGATTTGTAGTGTCGTGGATGGTGATGCTTCATATGAGGTCCTAGAAAGAAAAAGAATACTATAACCCTAGTTCATAATTATCAGTTGTTGGTAATCTTTAAATCCCTACAGGTTTGTCCTACGACAGTATAACATTGTTATTTTTCTGGCCAAAACAATATTATTATATTATTCTCCTTCCAACCTAGCTGGCAATTCCCCAACATCAACTCTTCATGTTCTTATCTGGCAAAACAGAATTACACACCTTAGATCTCTTTGTTTTTATCATGCCTATTATAAATAACAAGGAAATAATCTATTAATAATATGAATTAAATATACCTATTTGGCCCATATCTCAAATGAAACCAACACATACCCTCATGAGTATTGTGGTCTAAGTTATTAACTGTTTTGATGTAATATTTGGCAAGTTGAAGTAATCATTTAACTTGGAAAATCAGACATTTCTTATTAGCATCATGAATAGAATTTGAATGCTTTAATAAATCACATGAATAGCTATAATAATTATGAACTGATTTCATATTAACCCATAAAACTTTCAGATTCCTATATTTGCTAGTGTATCAAAAAAAGAGGCTATGGCTATGGCTCTGTGAAGAAAGTTTAGGTCCCAGAAATTCCAAACAGGATTACCAAAGACTCCTCCCTGAAGCTTTGGAGAGACTGCCAGTTATGTAATATTGTCTGATCATGCATAGCAAATGGAAGTACTTATTGCTCTCTCAACATGGCTGCTTTCTGCTCTGGGATCTGGCATCGCAGTGGTACAATGCGCAATCTTGATCCTCCAAGATCACCATCGATATCTCCACTGCTGGATGGTCCCGACTGACCTAAACCATCCCGTAGAAATGGTGATTGATTAGGGCACATCCTGTCGATTCCAGGGACATCGCAAGTCCCTGGTTGATCTAGGAAGAGCCCTTTTGCCGGCAGCGGAGAGGCAGCCATTCAAGTTGCTGAAGCTGGGACAGCTCCAGAACGGAAGAGATTGAAGGAAAATGTGTCACTTTGGTTAGATGAACTTTTACTTATTATTGCTTGAAGAGATCATCCTGAAAGATTTAAAGTGAAATTAAAAGTGAAGAGGAAGGAGTTTAAGCGGCAAAATTAAGCTAGTTAAAGTGAAAGTTTTTTTTTCTTTTCCCCTTTTATTGGAAATTTGAATTGGGTAAAGTTACTGAATTTTAAACTGGACTGGTTTCTTTTAAATTTTCCATTTTTGTTTTTATTCTTATTTTTTTTAACAATTTTTTGAGTCTGTTTTGATTAAGACTCTTCTTTTGGATTTGAGTTTTATTTTTTTTTTCAAAAAGAAGGATTCCATTTTCTATTTTGGTTTCTGGTATTGGATACATGAGCGGGGAGTGAAAGTGAAGGGAAAAAAAAGTAGCGCTGTCATTTAGAGGCTTGGACATACTGTTTCTTTCTTTCCTCAGTTTGTTTATGTACTTGTGCTGTACTCAAGGACTCTGAGCTTTGCACTAAAAAAAATAGTGGGATGAGCATGGCAGATTGTTTATACAGGTGTCCATCTGTGAAATTAAATAATTAGAGCTTCGAGCTGAAGTTGAAAAAAAGAAGATTGAAGTGACCTTGAAAATACTGGAACCAAAAACATTGAGTTGATTTATTAAAGAACCTTGGACACTCAGGGGCAGTGGGTGGCTTAACTTTAGGTTATTTTCCATCTCCGTTTTTACTCTCCCCCCCAAGTTGGATTTTTATATTTGGATTTTAATCTTCTAGTCCAGAAACTCTTCTTTTTCTCTCTTTTATTAAGAGAAATAATTGGATTAAGGTACATAAGTGCCTGAAGATTTTTTTTTTCCCTTTTTCTTTTTTGGAGTGGCAATTGCCTGCCTGTACTCCTTTTTTTTTCTTTTTTCTTTCTCCCTCTCTACAGCTAAGCACTACAAGATGAGCAGAAAGACAACAGCACCACCTTCCTCAATACCAATAGCCTCTTCACCATCTGGAAGTCAACGGACAATACAGATAATTTTACAACAGGAGAAAGAGAAGGAAGTGACATTACAGATGATTATGCAAGGAATCAGAAGATTGAAAAGAGAATGGAGAATATTGAGCAAAGAATTGAAAAGACAGATGAGAAAGTAGAAAATATTCAACAGATGATGATGCAATATGAAAATAGATTTTAAAAAATTGAAGAAGATGATACACAAAGGGACAAGAAAATTGGAGATATTAATACTCAATTGAGCGATGTCGAGAAGGGCAGATGTGAACCATTAGGATGGGAAATTGATATATCAGAATTCTACTTAAGATTTCAAAATGTAGAAGAAGAAAAAGGTGGAAATCTTGCTGAAATAATGACAGAAATACTGGCAGAAGCGTTAGAGATAACCAAAGAGAAGATGAAGTGTTCCGTGTCTATACAAGATACGCAATGAGAAATAGACCACCAAGAGAAGTTCATATCAGATTCACTAAAATTATTATTAAGATTATTAAGACACAGATACTGCAGGTGGCAAGAGAGAAAACTTTAAAGTACAAAGATAAAGAAATTGTGGTGCTGAAACAGGTACCAAGAAGAGTAAGAGAGATGAGAAAAGAATATTTATTTTTGACCAGAGTGTTATTTAAAAGAAGAGTAAATTACAGATGGCTGATGCCAAAAGGCCTCTTGTTCACCTGGCAGGAACGAAGACACAGAAGTGACACAGTTGAAAAAGCTGAGCTATTCTACTTAGAATATTTCAGAGGAAAGGAGGAAGAAGCTAGAAAGGAAGAGTCACTAATTGAATTCCAAGAGGAGTGTATAGCAGTAATCGAAAAAGAGAAAGAAGAAAATGCAGTAGGTGGTGTACCCAGAGAGCAACGAGAATTAAGACCTACTAGAGCAATAAAAACCCCTCACAAAGCCTAACATGGATGAAAGAAAATTGATTACGATTAACATAAATGGACTTAATTTGGCTACCAAAAGAAGGAAAGTATTTCATAAATTAGAGAAATTAAAATTTGATATAATTTGCTTACAAGAAGTACATATTAAAAAAAATGAATATATACTGAAACAAAAAAAATTAGGGAAATTATTTACATTGCTGGCACAATCTAAAAACAGAGGTGTGGTTTTATATATTAAAGACACAATTTTGGCAGAATTAATTTACACAGATGATGATGGAAGGATTTTGATGGTGGAAATAATGGACAATAATGTCAAAACACTTCTAATTGCAATTTATGCTCCAAATGATAACTAAGAAGAATTTTACAGGAAATTACATATGAAAATAATTGAACTGGACTATGTTAATATTTGTATGATGGGAGATCTTAATGGAATAGTTAAGGATTGGTTGGACTACAAAATGCAGAAATCAACAAAGAAAGTTAAAAAGATATTACCAAAATCTTTCTTTCGAATAACAGAAGAATTCAACTTAAAGGATGCATGGAAAGAGAGAAATGTGGAGAGTAAGCAATACACTTTTTACTCAAACAGACATGCTTCATGGTCTAGAATAGACATGATATGGATGTCAGCAGACTTACTGGCCAACATATGAGAGACTGATATAGAAACAAGCACTTGGGCAGACCATAATCCAGTAACAGTTACTTGGAAAGGACATAAGAGGAGATCCAAATGGACCTTAAATAATACAATATTAAAAGAAAAAGACGTTAAATAGAAAATAGAGAAAGAACTTGCTTTCTTTTTTAAAGAAAATAGAAAAGAGGATACATCTCTACAGAACCTCTGGGACATGATGAAGGCCTACACAAGAGGCTTGATAATAGACTATACAATGAAAAGAAATATAAAACAGAAAAAGACTTTCAAAATATTGGAGGATGATAATAAAAAATTGAAAAAAGATTTACAGAAGTCCCCGCAAAAAAAGACATTAAAAATAGAATGGATATAATTAAACATAAAATGTGACTAATGCAAAAAAGAGGAACTAGCACAAAAAATTAAAAATGCAAAACAGAATTACTTTGAAGATGCAAATAAACCAGGCAGATGGCTAGCCTATAAACTGAGTAAGGAGAGAGAATCAAGAAGGATTAGCCAACTAATAAATGAAGAAGGACATGCTTGCTATGGAAATGAGGAGAAGAAAAAAATTATACAAGATTACTATGGGAAATTGTATTTTCAAGAGGATATTCAAGAAGAAAAAGTTAAGCAATATTTACAGAAAGTGAATTTACCTCTGATACCTAAAGATACCAAAACAATGCTAGAAGGGAATATAACAATGATGGAATTAACAGAAGCCTTAAAAAAACAGAATATTGGAAAAGCACCGGGTCCAGATGGCTTACCAGTGGAATTTTACAAGACTTTCCAGGAAATATTGAATCTTCACCTATTAGAAGTTATGAATGAAGTTATGTTAAAGAAAAGAATACCCAAAACATGGACAGAAGCATATATTACTCTTATTCTGAAGGAGGATACAGACCTGCAGCAAGTTACAAATTATAGACCTATATCCCTATTAAATTCAGATTATAAAATTTTTGCTTAAATTTTGGCAGAAAGACTAAAAAGGTATTTAAATAACTTTATCCATATTGATCAAAATGGATTCCTGCAAAGAGACAAATCAAAGACAATGTGAGAATTATTTTGGATACTCTGGAATACTATGTGGCACATCCTAAGAAGCAAATGGCTTTGATGTTTTTAGATGCACAAAAAGCCTTTGACAATGTGAGTTGATGATTTATATTATTGCAATTGGAACAAATGGGCTTTGGTAAAAAAAATCATTCAAGCCATTGAAATGATATACTATGAACTGCAAACTGCAAAGGTTATGTTAAATGGAGAACTAACAGAATCTATAGATATAAGAAAAGGGACAAGGCAAGGTTGTCCTCTGTCACCCCTGCTGTTTGTGTTAACATTGGAAGTGTTGAATAGGAATATTAGAGAAGAAAAAGAAATAAAAGGAAAGAAAATCAAAAAGGAAGAGTATAAATTGCAAGCTTTTGCAGATGACCTGGTATTTATATTAGAAGGCCCATCAGAAACAGCACCTAAATTAATAGAAAAAATAGAAGAATGTGGAAAAGTAGCAGGTTTGAAAATAAACAAAGGTAAAACAAAGATATTAACAAAGAATATGTTAGTAAGATGAAAGAAAGAGTTGGAAGAAGTTTTAGAAATAAAGGTCACAAACAAGGTTAAGTATTTAGAGATGAATATCACACCAAGATGTAGCACACTGAAGGAGGATAATTATCTTAAACTCAAACAACAGATAGCGACAGATTTGACAAAATGGAGAAACTTACAATTATCATTGATTGGGAGAATATCTACAATTAAGATGAATGTATTGCCTAGAATTTTATATTTATTCCAGACAATTCCAATCTGACTAGAGAAAGAGTTTTTTGAAGACTTAAATAGAATTGTGCTGAAATATATTTGGTGGGGCAAAAAAGCAAGAATAAAAACTGTTACAAGATGCAAGAATAAGAGGAGGGTTTGCCTTGCCTAACTGGGAGTTGTATTACCAGGTGACGGGGGTAAAGGAATGGATAACATTAAGGAACAACAGACTATTGCCCTTAGAAGGGCATGACTTGCTGTTGGGATGGCATGCCTTCCTTTGGTATAAGGGAACTAAAACACAGGAGTATTTTAGAAGACATTACATTCGAGAGGCATTGTTTTTGAATTGGGAGAAGATAAAAAGACAATATTATTTAAAAATTCTGTTATGGATATCTACCATTGAAGCTTTTTCTTATCCAATAATATATAAAAAGGAACAAACAGTTAGATATGGTGAGATATTGAATGAAAAGGGTGAACTTAAATCTATTCAAGCATTGGAAGAACAAGGTGTAAAAATGAACTGGTTTTCATATTTGCAGATACAATCTATATTTGACAAAGATGTTAAAGCAGAAGGAATTTATGATAAGTTGACTGATTTAGATAAAATTTTGATGGGTACTGATGAAAAGGTAATTAAAAAACTTTATGGACACTTATTAGAATTTAAATTGGAGGAGGAACAAGTTAACGAAACGATGATTGCTTGGGGGAAAATTTTTGGATATGGGATTGATTTAGAAAAATGGCAAAAATTGTGGTCTCAAAATTATAAAAATGACAATGTCAACTGCATATAAAGAAAATTTGTATAAGATGTTTTACAAATGGCATCTACCCCCAGTGAGACTTGTGAGAATGTTTAAGAATAAATCGGATAAATGTTGGAAATGTCATCAGATATCTGGTTCATATTACCATATGTGGTGGACATGCTTGGACGCAAAGAAATATTGGACTAAAATCCACACATGGTTGGAAAAAATGATAAAACAACATATAGACTTTTAACCAGATATCTTTTTATTGGGAATTATACTGGAAATATACAACAAAGAGTTGAAATATTTGATTGTAAATGTATTAACAGCGGCTAGGATTGTATTTGCTAAGAATTCGAAAAATGATAAAATATGCAGGAGGAAGTTATTAAGAAAATTATGGACAGTGCTGAAATGAGTAAACTGACATTTGAAATTAGAGAACAAGAAGATAAACAATTTTATATGATATGCGATTTGTTTTATCAATGGTTGGACAAAAAGACATGGTAATGTAATAGACTAGATAATTCTGTGAGAGAAATTTAATAGATTGATATAAAACATAATATAGACATATATAACCATTGGTTGAAAGTATAACATAAATTTTAAGATAAAATCTGGAATATCTTGTATAAAATGATGGAATAAATAGTTTAATAATGGATGATTAATAACTGATAAATATATAAGCATATGTTAGTTTGAGAATGTGAAAATTGATATAAACTAGGAGTAATGATTACAAAAGGATAGCACAAAAGATTTGTAACCAACTGACACACTGTATGGATATAAAATGGAAGATGGTTTTATGTTTTTTATGTGTATGTTTGTGTTTTAAAAAATAAAAACTCTTTTCTTTTTTAAAAAAGTTGCTGCTTCCTTTGTCCAAAACTTACTTGAAGATGGCAGACAGCTTGAAAATAGGCCCACACCATCACATAAAAAAATCCTAAAACTAATGTTTTGCAGCATACAAAATTTTAGAAACATTCCAAGATGGAAGTTTTTGAGATTCTTGAGTGCAAAGGATAAACATTCAATATAACATCCAGAGAACTATAAGAAAGCCAGATATGACAGAAAGTAAAGATTTGGAATGCACCTGTTGATTAAATTCTGGATTCTGTTCTAGATAGATTTACCAACTTTCCTTTGTTGAAAATATAATTTAAGATTTAATCCATTAATGAGAAAGACTGTAAACAAGGTAAATCAAAGTTGAGCTAAGCAGCCATTTCAGACCAATCTCACTGCTAATTTCAGATGAATTATTAAGCATCTTTTATCCTAAATAAATCAAAGACTATGTTCAGGCTGTTAGGTCAGATGGAGAAGAGTATGTCTAAAAATACTCATAATGTATTAAGTTCCATATAAGAAAGAGAGAGATGCATGCATCAGAATAAGTTATTGTAGTGTGTCAACACTCACTCTGTGGTGATATCACTAAATTGGGTGTTTGAAATGATTTTATTGCAGCTGGTCCTTCACCACTTGTGGTTAACACTTGAACTTCTAAACGGTAAAGAGTTGATGGTCTTAGGTTGGGTACTGTCAACATATGGTGATCCTAAAAGGAAATGTAAACAGTTATTTGAAGTAAAAGAAATATATTTGAGGCATTCAGTGTCATCAATCAACTCAACTTCTTCCCTCCTATATATCTGCCTCCCCCACTGAAGAGGTACTTACTACTGGCAATATTTGTGATTGGGAGATAATGCTGTTTGGTAAGCTGTTTTGCCTGCTTTCTGTAGTGACTTCTGCCCAAGTGACTTGAAATCCTGTCATTGGTTGGTGAAGATTTGTTTTTGATATTTTCCAGGAAAAGTGGCCTGTAATATTAATGTCCTGAACAATGAAAGAAGCAGAAAGATTCTCTGGTTTTGCCAATATTTTTGAGATAACAGGATCTGTAAAATAATACCAACACAAAGAGAGAAGTTATCATCTCTGTTAATCTTAAGTACAATTTTTAAAAGATATACATTAAGGGAGTCTACAACAATGTGTCATATAAACTTTGCTCTTATATGATGAGGATGGAATGTTTACTCTCAAATAAATTGCTCACCATTATATCTCTTATTTTATTTACCATGAATATAGTTTCATTTTATACAATGCACTTCAATTAGTAAACATTACCACAAATTCTAATTTCATGATTTGATGTTGTTCATAAGTGATGTAGATGCATTTATATTATTATATTATATACAATTCTGTAAATCAACTTTATCTATATGTTTTATATATGAATAAAATGTCTTTTTAAAAAAACAACAACTACTATATTATTTATTGAAAATATCATGTTTATAAAAATATCTTTACATAAATGTGAGTCAATTAATATTTGAAGATATTAAATTCATTGTATGGAGGATCAGAATATAAAATGTTGAGGCAATTTGTGGTACCAGAACTGAAACTATTACTTACAATAGTATATTTTTCTATCTAAAGAAATTGCCTAAAGAGATGTGATCTATCGAAGAAAATATAAAATGTTTAGAGATAGCCAGACCAGCTGTGAAAGGCACACATCTTATCAGGTTAAAAAAAGCATACAAATGTATAACGTTTTGTTGTATCTCATACCTAAATTGTATTCTTCTGTTACATATCAAATTTGTAAAATAATTTTATTTAATGTAGCATAAAAATGAGATAGTAATGAAGATCATATTGAAAACTTCTAACTTACTGACTGTAAAATCAGATTACAAAAAAAATTAAATTTGTGGTTGTTTCTTTTGTATTTGTATTCTTATTAATTAATCTGCTTTTGCAATACTAATACTTGTAAGTGGTTACATTAAGAATTTTAAAGCTCTTCATATAATGATGGAAGCAATCCATTTTAAAAACTAGTGTTTGAATGTTTAGCTATTTAAGTATTTTATTTCACTGTAATGGTTTTGAATCTTACCTCCTTTAGCTACGCAGCTTACATACTTGTGTTTTTTCCCTTTTAGATCAGAACAAGGTGGAGTCGTAAAAAAAATGCTTTCAGATTTCAACTGACCATTGGATCTTACTGGGTGAACTGTAACCTTATACTTGCAGGAAAAGGACAGGTTCTGAAGAATTATATAATTTTCCTATGAGAGACATAAGCCATTTTATTATCCTTCTCTTGGGTTTAAATTTAATATTTTCCAAGCAATCAATGCAAAAATGCATTTTTAGAAAGCAAGACAGTTTACAAAATGTATAAATATTCTCAGATATCATTTATTTATTATAGTGAGATGAAATAGGTGATGAAATAGGTAAGGCTGAAGGCAGCATATTCAGCCCAAATCTCTAGATGACTTCATATAGAAGAAATTTTATAATATGGCACAAGTTGAAAAGGAAAAAAAAAGTGGCACATATTTAAATGGAATCACAAATGGTAGTGTTCTTCAATATGAATTCCTCTACCACATAGGTGGAAAGTAATTCTCTATTCAAAAGTTTGCACAAACATGTGTCTATGTGATAAAAAGGAATTAAAAAAAACTATAGTAGATAATTTAATCCAATGAAGTGCGTGAAGGCAATAGTTGATTTTTACAAAGCGTACTTGAGAATTAAACATAACATTTTATTTTATTTTATGTAAAATTATACTGTATGTAATATTGCACTGCACATTGCACTGCACACTGCACTGCACATACAAGAAATGTTTCTGATTGCCATTAATAAGTATTTTCTAACTTAAATGAATTTAAACAAATTGTAAAAGTTGATATAAGAAAATATACAAAAATCTGCATCAGTTATATGAAAAGAATATAACTTGTTCTATCGAATCTTACAAAATCAGTTTGTACCACAAACAAAAGATGGAACAATTCTCTTCCAGTCTCAGCTTCTTGAAATAACCATAATTGGTAAGAACAACATTGAATCAATACTTCTTTTATGAGGCCTTATATAAAGTATATAATTGAAGTATATGACTTCAGGTGTTAGCATAAGTTGGATAAGTAGACAAGATCTTGAACTTATTATTAATTTCCCAAGGCATACTGCTATATTTCTTCAAGAAACTTCAGAAAAATGGGAACATAATTCATGCCAGTTTTAGTAGGTGTTTTTAAAGGAGGGGGGATTCAATTTTCCCTAACAAATTAACCCCATAAACCCTGGTGCTGTCTTCATCTACAGTACAACTGCCATGCCAGCTGCAGCTACTAACCATCCAAAAGAATTAATTAAAAATCTGGTTCTCCATCCTAACAAATACACTAGATTAACCAGCCTTCCTCAACATAGACCACTTCAAAGGATTCAAGTCACACATAATGCACATTCATTAGAGCTAATGGCCAATTGGCCATATTCAATCTATAGGAACTCAAGCCAAATACATGTGGAGGACTCCAAGGAACTGAAATTACAATAGCTTTTCATTACAAAGGACAAAATGGATGCTTTGAAGCATAGAACAAATTTGTATTTGAAATATAAAGGGAACATATTGCGATCTTTAAAGGTCATATATACTCTTCTCACAAATATAAGATCATATATTTACAGTTTATTATGCTTAAAACTTAACTTACATACGTTACATCATTGAATTTTTCAGGCTCTTCGGTATTGTTGTAAGAACATAATTCTGGGAACCACTGAACATTATATTCTTCCCTGCTGGTGACATCTATCAGTGAAATATCATAACAAGGCAAAATTAATAGAAGCTTACACTTAAAAGTCTTTGATTTTTTTTGAATAGTTTATGCAGAGACACACATAAATAGTGGACATATTTATCATTTGTAGGAAAAATATATAAAATGAAAATGCATATGCCTTTTAGAATATTGGAAGTTAGTCTGAGCAAATTCCAAATGTCTCAGGTTGACCTGGTGAAACAGTTTATACACTGCTGTGTTGCACCATTAAAATATCACGCAGGAGAATGGAATTTGCAGTTTTAAAAGCCCACAGAAAAGTAGAAGTAGGAAGTGCAGAAAAATGGACACAATAATATACTAAAGAATTATTACAAATCTATGACAAAATGCCGCCCATTTATAAATATATCAGTATTATAAATATATAAGAACACGAACAAATATATAAGGTTCTCAGAAAATAAGGTGGAGTCTTATTTTCTTTTAGACTTGAAAATAATCACTTCTGCTTATTTTTGAGGTGGTCTTACTTTTTTTGAGGTGCAGCAGGCCAAACTTGGTGAGCTGGACACACTGTGGATGTACTGTCACCTCCATTTCAAAACTTCAGCATTCAGAATGGAGGCTTTTTGGCGAACAGGAAAAAAATGGGGAGGGGGAATTTTCCTGCTTGCCATCCTTCCCTCAGTCTGTGCTGAGCTTGAGGAATAGATGATAGGCAGGAAAATCCCCTCTCCCCATTTTTCTCCCATTCACCAAAAAGCCTCCCACAAGCCTCCCAAAAAGAGGGAGAAAACAAAGTAGCTGGCCATAGAGCTACCAGCTTCAAGGAAGTGGCCCAACAAGCAGAAGTGGTGCACCCAGAAAGAGAAGGGCAAAAGTGGTATTTGCGCTGCTACAAGGGGCCAACGGGCTGCAGCTGCAGCCATATAATTGCCCCCCCTTGCACCCATGCCACTTGTGCTGGTCACACCCATCCCCCTGGACTTATTTGTGGGTTAGTGGTAATATTAGCCCCCCCCCCAAAAAAAAAATTAGGGTTGGGCTTATTATTGGGGTGTGCTTTTGAAGAAACACAGTAAGAGAGAACAAAAAAAGATAAATGAATCATTTTATTAATATTCATCTAATTCTGCAAGTGATTTTCCTACGTTGCTTTAAAAAAATCATGAAAGTTCTCTTTCAATTTTCCTCATTTCTAGTTTTTCCCATAGATAGCTATGGGAAACACAATCAATGCAGATTAATCTGCATTTAATTGCCAGGTTGATGTCTTTACTCTCCACACTCAATGCATGTTCAAGTTTCAAAGCACCTGGGGTCAGTTGCAAGCAAGATTCGGAGCAAGTAAGTCTGGCCTGCTTATGTGAATTAAGAAGACATGGCAATCATGATAGAGAATTGTTAATAAAATTTACTTCATGAAAATACACTGCATTTAGAATGCAGTCATATCAATCATATGAAAACTAAACAGTGATGTTTAAACTATAGTATATGCATATGCAACACTTATTTGCAACTAACTTCTTTGGCTCTGCTCAAACATGTACAGTGAGTAACCTGAAAGCCATGTAAGCTAGCAGTATCACATATTTTTTCTTACGCAGAAAGAAACCTTCAGTTGAACTTTTGTTTGCTTTTCCATAATATTTGTTTTATTCTGTCTTATTTTTACCAAGCGGTCCAGTTTAACAAGTTTATCTCACATATTTCAACTTCCCTTTTCTTATCTTACCTAAATGTATCATTTGCTTTATACTAGGCAAATATTAAAATAAGTTATTCAGATGCCAGATTCGTTGATAGTTGTTTAAGATGTAGGAAGAGTAGGCAGTCTGAGACCAAACCAACCACAATTTCCACTGATTAAAGGCTAGTGCAACACAGAAGCAATAAACCCCCTTTTAACAGAAAATTGATATTATTATGTCAAGATGCTACATTATTCTTGGGGGGGTGGGGGTGTTTTAAGCCATGCTTAACTGAAATGTAAGTTTAGAATGCAGATTTAAGTACATACCACTAATGCAAATCTTTGCCTATACAAATAGCATGCTATACGGTTCTGGGGCTGTTCCAGTGTGTTATTGCTAATAGCCTCTGCATCTGAGATGACTTATGACTCAGTCGTGCTATTCAATAATCTGTATGCATATAAAGAAAGATTCAGACCATGATCAAGCTAAAAATTTGCGGGTGAGTTTGGAGATTGTAACTATGCTCTACAGGTTCTTTTTTTCAGATGATTTGTCCAGTACCTAAATGCTGCAATAGGAAACTGATGTTCACATCCACTCTGAGATCCTACATGGGAGCACTTTTTTCATCTTGACCATCAAAGGCCATGGCTAGGCCATTTCTTGAGTCATTTGTACAGCAATATTAGTCTCCCATAGAGAATCTTCTACAGATCACTTAACTACCATTTCCCTTTTAATATAGTTAATGGTTTCCTAGACCCATTAAGATTGTGACTGATCTGTCAAGAGAAGCCTTGTACCTGAAACAAAGAACAAAAGGCCTCTATAATTGATTAACAAAGATAACCTGATTTTTCTTTTATCCATAGTCCTATATGAGTATCTACGTTGATAACAAGAATTGGAATGCTGCAATTCACATAAATGAGTTGCTCCTAATCAAACATTTAGAATCAGTATTGACACAAGCCCTGCTTTAGTCAGTACATGAGAATTCAAATGGAATTTTCTCTTCACTTACATCTATTAACTCAGGCACAGGAAGGATACAGGTGGATACAGAAGAGGGCATGACCAGAAAGTCTTATACAGACAATGGTATCAATCTAATAAGGAAAATGGTTGGTTCCATTTCTACAGGAGACTTCATTACATGCCTTCCTGCCTTCTCAATGAGCCAGAAACATCCTTGCATCAGTGGAAATGGTGGTGGTGAGGAAACACAATTTTTTCCTCCCTTTTTGCTCTATAGCTTTTGACTCTAGTTAATTTGCCCACCAACACCATCTCCACTGTTGCAAGAGAGCTGCTGCCTCCATAGATATAATTATAAGGAGGCTGGTTATGCCAACAGTTTTTTTGGGGGGAAATACCACTGAACAATCATAGTAGCTCAATCAATTTTAGGTTTACTTTGCTTAGTTTGGAGATCCTTAATCTACTACATATTTTCTCCCTTTGTATTGTAGTAATCAGAACCCCTGAGGAAGCTTTAAAAACCGGAAACATAAAACTGCTATTATTAGGGTTGAATAGATGGGGGGAAAAAATCTTTTAACTATGATATCTAAGTCAAATCAACACTATGGAAAAGGGAGCTGTAACCGTTTGGTCATATTGATGAGTAATACTTTATATGCATGGGTACATATGGAAATTACTAGTAAACATAATGCATATCTGCAAGCAAGATGCTTCTCCTCCACTCTCCTCCAAATATATGCATAGGAGAAAGTTGGAAACCTTTGCTTCTATATTAACTTAAATAATAAATAATAGCTCATATTAATTATAATATGCTTAAAAATGCCAACAGTATATCACAAAGCAGTCAGACTTTCTATATTTGTATATCCAAAATTACCACAAAGCTATCTGAATCAGTGTTTTTTAATAACTAACAAATTATTTAGGCACCTTCTGTTTTCTTCCAGTAGACTTTCACTTGAAGTTGGTCATCTTCGAAAAAAGGGACTCCAATTTCAAGAAGACGATTAAGTCTACTTCCTTTGAAGAATGAAACATCAGTTGCTTTACCAATGGTAGATGTCCATTCTTCTGTAAAAGAAAATATTTCTGACAATTTTCCAGTTGCAAAGATGCTGTATATTCAAAATGTTTCAAATGATACTTGAAATGCATCTAATAAGAGATCACTGAATTACAAATCAAAAGAATAAAAATACAATAAAAGAAATAATTAACATTTATTTATAAAACATGAGTAAACATAAATAACTTTGCCAGTTGTTGGCAGCTAATTCTAAAAGAAAGTTATTGGTTCCAGAATATTTAGACATTTTCAAATTTTCTTGTTTGCTAAAATACAATATGATCAATCCTAGCTGGTAACATAGCTATTCTATTTTCAAAGATCCCATACATATGGCGCTGTATTCAGGTAAATAGAAGGTTATAACAGTGTTGATAACATTTTATTAATTTATTACATTTATAAGTAATAATACAATAACAAAATGATAAAGAATTCCAGTACTTCTGAATTCATCATAGTAACACAACATTTTAAAAAAGCAAAAACAATTTAATAGTGTAGCTGTTACTGACAAGGCATCCAGAGCCAACCATATCAAAAGAGTAATAAAGTGGTAAGTATTACTAATAATAGTCAGCACAAACATGAAAATTGACTAATGTGAAGTAGAAAACACTAAAAATGAAGATGAAGTTATATTGCAGCTGTTTTTGAAGAAATAGAAAAGAATATTACAGTTCTAAAACAATATTTTTATACTAGGTTTATTGATGAAAAGAGAATAAACTATTATTAAATAATGACATACATCTGCATTGAAATGTTAATGTTATAACATTGAATTAATGAAATTAATATTAATCCATAACAATTTATTCCTAATTTACAAAACATAGTTGAGATAATGTGTATATCAATTTTTCATAAGCTAATAAAGCAAAGCACAAAAGAGAAACACCGCTTTAAAACTGTCAAGCACTGTTAAATATGTCCATGAGTTGAAATAGCTTCCATACTAGAATCAGGACAAATACTGGATTTCACAGCAAATCATATTTTCTCTGATGCTACTTTTACTCAGCTATAAAACTAAAATATATCCACTAACAGAAAAGAAAAGAAGATGACAAATTCAACAGAGTTCACAAAAATATAAACTCTTGTAGGTAAAAATGAAGAACAATAAAGAAGTGAAAATAATTGTGTATTTTTGAAAGCAGGTTAAAGAATAAATCAAAGTTAATTGTGAAATAAGAAAGAAAGGGTGCCTTCCAATTGAACGTAATTTGATGAAACTTTCATACATGTGGAAATCAGGGTAACCAGACCTTGATTAGCAAAGGTTTTATCTCAATGTAAATTTAATACGATCTGCAACAGGGGACAGAAACTGGTAAGTATAAAAAAGGAATTTGTTTCAGTTATCCTGCTGTAAAATGGATATAGAGATTAGATGTGAAGTTTCAGTGCACATAGCAAGCACTAAAGTGAACAAAATATGATGTATCTTTAAATCTGTCTTGTGTTCCTCTAGCAAATCCTTGTGTCAACCCTGAAGTGAACCTGGCTGAGGCCAACTTGGAGGCTTCAGGGTTGCCACACAACAGAGGAAGGGGGAAATAGTTAGATGGAGTTTTGTAGCCAAAACAATAAAGCTTTCCTGTGGGAACCAAGGACATTCTCAAGGTGGCTGGCCAGAGGAGGAATGAAGTAACCAAGCAATCGGCCAGCAACTGGATGGGACAGCGTGACCAGTGACTTGGAGGAAAGGGGAAACTTTCCTGTTTAATTAGGTGAAAGCCGTGGGAACTTTTAGTTTATTGGATATATCATA